TTTTTTGTTTTTTCTTTTTCTAATGTTTCAAAACTTGAAAATTTTACAACTTTTAAAACGTACAACTGTTTTTTTTTCATATAATTTAGATTTTTTATAAGGCAAAATTTATTTTATCCCCTTGTGATTTAAGGTTAAAGCACTTTACCCTTATAATTCAAAAATAGTCAGAAAGATCTCATCATATGATTTTGAACTAAGTGTAACCATTAACGTAGTTAACTAAAGATGTAAAATTACTATAATACCCTTTAATATACATAGTTTATAATGTTTAAACATTAATTCAATTGAAACACAATTGATTATATATTCTTAATCATTTATTGTAATTCTTAACTTTTTATTCTAATTTTAATTTAATTATATTTTAAATCACAATTAATCTTAAATATTTAATTAGTTATTGTAATTGCTAAATTTTAAATCTAACTTTAATTTAATCATATTTTAGATCAATTTCTAATTATTACGTATTTTATATTCTTACTTAAAATATTTAGTTATATTTTATATTTTAAATTAATTGTTAATTTTATTTTATTTTATTTTATTTTAATTAACATATTAATCTTTTTGTTGTATTAATTTCATGTTATTTTTTCAAAAAACTAAACCCATTTTAAAATATTGTGTGTAATACACCTTCCGTTAATTTGAATGAAAAAATTAACGACACTTTAATCCTCCAAAATCACTTGGAAATTTTCTGACTATATTTAAATCATAAGATATAAAATGAATTTAATCCCTTTTTTATAACTACTCAGCGAGATCGTTCTTCATTAAATACAAAATTATGTAAAATGAAAAAAAAAAATACACTTTTTTAGAATTTGAAATTGTGAAAAAAAATTCACTCATAAAATTTCATACTTTTGAGAAATATTTTGTCATGAGACTCATCTTCCTTGCATTATAATAGTGTGAATTTTGTAATTAGTGTGAAAGTTGTAAATCTGAACATTTATACTTTTAATTATTAAGATATTATTTAGAAAGTATGAAAGTTAGTATGAATGCATTTAAAAATATTCACACTTCTTAAAATTTTATATTTTTCTAATTTATTGAATGTGTGAATAGTTGTATTTTTAAAAAATTCGTAGGTAAATTATAATTTGCATCCCTGCAGTTTGCACCAGATTCACTTTGGCCCTTATGTATGAAATTATGACAATCAAGCCATTACACTTCTAGTCAAATCTTTTGGTCCCTGCACATGAAATCGTGACAATCAATCCTTACATTTCTGGTCAAGTGTAACAACCCTCATACTGTTTACTGATTAATGACTGATTGATTACCGATAATCACCGATTACTGTTAAACGGAACTGATAATGACTGATAACTGACTGAGAATTGAACTGATTAAAGTACTGAACTGACTGACCGAAATTGCAACTGAATTGAGTGAATACATCTGTTTGAATTGCATTTTATCTGTTGACTGTTTGTTTGATCTGTTCGTGTTTTATGTTTAAACTATTAATTGAAGGCCTTATCGGCGGCCGAACCGGAAATGGGTTAGTGTATTATGATCGTCATATTTAATAGGATTTTATGGTATAATTATCTGAAAACTAATTAGGTATGATTAAATTAGATTAAATATTGATCAATTGCAAAGTTGGCCTTATTTACCGAACTACCCCTAGTGGACCACTATCTCACACACACACTTGAGCCTTATACATTGAATCAAACATTTCTTTAGCCTATTTGTGAGACCCTTAGCCGACCATAGAGAGAGAGAGACTTGAGGAGTTGAGTTCATCTCAATATTGCTTAGAATTTGAAGAGAATTGAAGTGTAGATTGCTAAATTGAGCTCCTAGTCTTCTAATTCAAGACCTAAGGTAGAGTAATTACCCTCTTGCTTATGAATTGAGCTTGTTCTTGCATGATTCATGTCAAATTAAGGAGCTAAGTCTTGTTTTAGTTCATACATGTTGAAATAGAACATAATTCATGCATGCATGTTTGAATTGTTGGATTTTGAGTTGAATCATGGCAAATTGTCACATGCATGTCCATAATTTTGTAATGGTCCATGTTTTCATCTTGTTTGTGAATCAATTGGCTCACTAGAGCATGTTTTGAAGCTTGAAAGTTATTTAAAGATCATGCATGTCATGTTTGAAGATTGTTCTTGAAAATGATTTGAAATTGAGCTTGAATTAAACACCCTTGGGCTTTGATTTCTCAAAATTGAGCTTTGAACCATGTTATACTATGTGTTTATAAATGTTTTCCAGAAAATGGGCCCAAGAGGATTGGTTTTGATGCATTTGAGTGTGAGTTTGAGCTTGGAGGTGCAATCTGGAATTCCCAGATTTTGCACTTACACTCGAACGGGGAAAGTGGCGCTTCCCCTTTTCTTGCTACTGTAGCCCAGAACTCTGTGAGTAACAATTGTGTAAAGATATGTTCAACTGATTATCTTTTGAATACTGAACTGAACTGTTTACTGAACTGGTATTACTGAATGAATGTATGTCCTTTATTTCTGAACTGTACTGTGGCATCCTTAGCACCTACTATTTGCTGTTACTGTTATAGAGATCTCTGTCGGTTCCCTCGTGGAACCACTAGTGTTTACTGACTGATGGCCATCATTACTGTTCGGTCTTTTAAGACCTACTGTTACTGTTATGTTAATGGATGTACCACATATGACTGTTTACTGTACTGAACAACTGAAATACTGATTGAATTGGAACTGTTTTCATTACTGTAAGGACATTCATTCTAAACCCCTTTACGCTTTATGTTATTCACTGGGCTTTAGCTCACTGCTCATATATATATGTAGGTGTACAGGCACCGGATTGAAGCTAGAGGCGTCAGGGTTACTCCAGTTTTGTCAAGCCAGCCTTTGTGCCTCACTGCGAGGTTCCGAGCCTAACGTGTTAGGGCTTAGGGGTGTTTTACAATTCCCCCTTTTGTACTGTTTCACTGTTTTGTATAGACTGAATGTTTACCGTACTGTTATCTAGGGTTGAGTCCCTAGTCTGAATGATTGTAAATATTGTGCATACCGTTCTGTACTGTTTACGTATAAATGTATGAAAAATCTTTTCATATAGACTGTCGCAGCTCATTGGACATTGTTTATTTACTGTTTTGGCTTCCGCCAGGCCCTGTACTCTGTTTTACTGTATTACTGTCCTGCAGGCCTTCGGTAATCTCGGATTACTGGCCGGTTACGGTGCTAAACCCATAGGGCCGGGTTTGGGTCGTGACATCAAGTATCAATGTCTCCCTTTTGTTACTCTACCATATAAATCTTTAATAGAGGTCAGTTATGCGACAAACATATGACTACAAAATAAGAGCAAAGGAGGAAAATCATGCACATTTCCCGCTTATACACATCCCAAAATTTACATCATATTTTGTCTATATTCGATTAAATCAAAACACAAATTATGAACAATTAAAGAGACAAATTAAGATTTTTTTGTGAAAATAGAAATCACAAAATTCTGTTTTTCATAGTAACGATAGAATATTCCTCTTCCTTTTTTTTTTATTTCTCTATTACCTTTATTTATTTGAAAAGAGTTCTGTTTTCTTTACTTTTTGTCCTAATTTTCTTACATGTTTATCACGTGAGACAAAGTATGTATTGGTGGAAACTAAGGATAATTTTCTTCTCTTATTCTCATTTTGTAGTCACATATTTATCATAAGACTGAATTCCTATTAAAGACTTAAACAATATAGTAACAGAATGGAACATTGACACTTGACCAAATGCAGGGAGTTGATTGACACAATTTCATGTGTAGGGGCCAAAGTGGAATTTGACCAAAAGTACAGGGAGTTAACTGTCATAATTTCATATACAGGGATCAAAGTGAAATTTAGTGCAAAGTATGGGGATGTAAAGTGTAATTTATTCATGATTTTTTGTGATTCTCACTATTAATCCTAACAAAATAAGACAAACTTTTAATTGGCAGATTGAAAATAGAATAATTTGGAATTATTTATCCAAAAAAATAAAAAAGAACAATTTGAAATTAAAATTGGTTTGTTCACCCTCTTGGCCGAAAGTCTATTGACGCTAATATTTCATAATTATGTATTCTATGGTCAATACCAAATTAACATTATATTTTCTTCTTCGTGATTTGAGATTGGAACATTTTAGCTCTCCTACTGTTTAAATATAGTTAGAAAGGCCCCATCTAATCTTGGACCAAGATACAACCGTTAATTTCATTAATTATAAATATGAAATGATTGTAATAATCTTAAATCTTATGTCTTATATATATATATATATATATTCTTTTTTTCCTCTCTCATACACATAATTTATAATTTCTAAAATCAATTCAATTAAATCATAATCAATCATAAATTGTCAATTATTTATAATAATTCCTAATTTTTTACTCTAGTTTTAATTTAATTATATTTTAAATCAAAATTAATCGTAAAATCCTTAATTATTTATTATAATTCCTATTTTTATCTAATTTTAATTTAATTATAGTTTAGATCACAATTAATCATACATCCTTAATTATTTATTGTAATTCCTAACATCTTAATCTAATTTTAATTTAATTATATTTTAGATCAATCCTTAATAATTATTTATTTTATATGTTAATTTAATTATATTTTAAATCACTCTTTCATTATATTTTAGGTCAATCCATAATTATACATTTATTTTATTTTAATTACATCTTAATTTAATTTTAGGTTTGGAGAAGATCGAGATAAAATTGTCTCTTTATTGTGTTAATTTCAATTTATTTTTTTAGAATCAAGTCATTTTAAAAAATAATGTGCATGATACACCTTCCATTACTGTGGATGAAAAAATTAACAATTATATTTTAATCCAAAATCACATAGAACCTTTCTAACTATATAAATGAATTTTGTCTTTAATCCAATTAGTTGATCAAACATAGTTTAGAACTTGTGCATTTGAGTTTGAGAACAAGAATTGACGATTACAGTAGACAGAAGTTACCTTTATTTAAAGAAATTGTAGAATACATTCACCAAATCATGAATTGAGACAAGCTTGCAAGAGATCTGTTTGTCCACAACAATAAAAATTAATGAGATGATGCATTTTTGTGAGATAAGCTTGCAATCTATCTCGAGCCAAAAACATATGGGGAAGCATTTCGTAAAATCTATTTCCACATACTATCTAGATATCACCTAAAAATACATATATGGTTCGATATCATTAGAATTGAGCAAACCCAAAATGCTCACGAATCTATTATACAAAGCTAGAAAAATGAGCTTGAAATAATGCAGAAATAGAATCTCACTACATGAATATCATTGCAGTAGAAGCCAACAAAATTAAGAGTTATTATGTTAACAATCACAATAAGAGAGTTTTTGTTATTTCTTGAGCGAATGAGTATTTTCTATTATTATTATAGATTTTATTTTACTAATCAAAAAATTGCGTTATTTGATCTTTGATGTCAAAAAAGACGAGCCATAATTTTATAACTTTTGCTCAACGTTACATAGATTCTCAATCCCCTATTGTACTCATGTCCATATATAAGATGCAAGGAAGAAGTCAAAAATATTATAGATTAGACTATTAAGTGTAGCAAAACGAGATTAGAAAATGGTGTATCAAACAAAATAAATTAAATTTTTATAAAAGAGAAATGTACTTACATTAGTTATTAAACAATCACAAGAAAAATGAATAAATGTAGGAAACATTGGTCAACAGTCCCGCGCATTGATTGTTTTGTGGCATAGACCCAAATTTTGGTTTTTCTTAATTAGAAGGTGACATGCACAACACTTTCTGGTTGGCAATTCTAAACATTTTATGGCAAAGAAATTTTTTGACATATTTGCCTTTTTATGTGTAGTGTTAAAAAAAAATTAAAATGTTATTACTTTAGCTACATATATCAATTTTTAATAAAATTAATTTTTTTGTGTTCATCTTGTCAAGATCTTTAAATAAAGATCAATATTAAAAATGAAAAGAAAAAAAAACTCAACAAATAGACCTATAGAAAAATAACGAATAGATCTATTTCGAAGCATGTCAAGGCCAAGGAAATTCATGACAATGCAACTATGTATAGTATCATAAAAACTATACATCAATACAATAGAATTGCAATTTTCCTCACCATGGACTAAATGACATGATTTTTTGGTCTAATGTTAGATGGTTTATGCGAAAAAAGTATAAATTGAGAGTCAAAAAGTATATATACATATATATATATTGGAAAAAAATGAGTAAGCGAAACCACCTCTATTCGTTTCAAAGGGATAGATTTCACAAAAAAATACATAAAATCAAAAAACAAAAAACTCAAAAACGGACTAATGAGCACAAAATTATGGCCTATTGAAGTTTCTACAACATATAAAAATCAAACTCCATTTCTTAATTTGTAAAGCAAACATATATATGTTTGTCTACAATTTTTTAAATTTAAAAAATATTTCAAAGTGCCCAGATAGCGTAGGTAATGCATAGATAGACATATATAATGCACAAATAGCATAATAGCTAGCAGACAAACCTATTTGTTCACATTTTTCACTTTAAAAGTGCATAGTCAAAGTGCATAGATATTTGCTTGGACACCTTACGAAATGCCTGGCATTGACCCCGAGGCCACTTGCCACCAACTGAACGTCGACAGGTCGGCCAAACCTGTGATCCAACGAGCAAGAGGACCGACATTGATGCACGTCGAAGCAGTAGAGCAAGAAGTAGACAGACTTCTGGAGCCCAGGGCCATTCGAGAAGTCAATTACCCGACATGGCTATTAAATACAGTGAAAGAAGGAATGATAATCAAAGAGCAAGGAATGTTAACATCGGCCAACAACAGACATTTTTCAGAAGCAAGAAAGCATTGGCAGTCAGCTGGGAGAGCTTCTCTACCATTATCTCGGCAACAATTTCAAGAAGGGACGTGGTTCTAAGAATATACAGAAAACAGAAACGAAGACAAGAATCTAGAAATACAACAAGAAAACAAGAAGAGAAAAATCAGAGTCAAGAAGATGACAGAGTTCAAAGAATAAAGCCAAGTACACAAGCACTAAGTAAGTATGTGAAGAACAAGAAAGTAATGAACCAGACATGATGCTAGCAACAGAAAGCGGATATGACAAGAACAATGCCAGGCATTCAAACAATTCAAAACTTGAAGAGAGACAAAAATAGAAGGCAACAGATGGAAAGTAAACAGATTCAGAAGAGTTATGAAAGATCGAGCTTAATAGCAAGTAAAGAGTTTATGAACCTACAAAGTGAAATGAACACCGATATAAAAATCGCCGAAGTCAAATAGATGACTGGAAATCGGGAACTCACCAGAGAATGTGAGTGGAGCAGTTGCAAAAGCTCTTGGAGTTTAAGAATTAATGGAACCAGAACCTCGACTAGGAGGTGCGATTTCAAGCAGCTTGGAAGGCATGAATCTTGATACTTGACAAAAGTGGACAGTAAGGTCCAGGAAATTTTGAGGTCGGTGTAGACACCCCATTTTTGACCGTCCTCAAGACTTGGACGTCACCGTTTGAACACTCGGTGAGTTGAAAACTCAAAAAGACGACAAAGGAGTATTGAATTGTACCTTGGGTGACGTACCTGTCAGGCGACATGCGCAGAAACGACGCAAACCTGATAGCGCGTACAAGCCAGTAAGGGATCAACGCATGAACAAAATGGTTGAGGAGCGTATACATGGTAGCTCATGCGCAATCGCAAAGCTTCTGGAGTTTACGAATTGATGGAACCATAAACCTCGGCTAGGAGGTGCGATCTCAAGTAGCCTGGAAGGCATGAATCTTGATACTTGACACAAGTGGACAGTAAGGTCCAGGAAACTTTGAGGTCGGCGAGTTTTATCTCAGACAGAGGGGCACAGATGAACGAACAGTGTAGGTTCCATCGTGATTGTTGTAGACAATGCATGATGATTAGGTAACAGGCAGTGGGGATATATTTTCTGAGTACCAACACGTGACAAGGTGACGTCGACGTGTCAGCCGAGGTGCCACGTGTCTTGGTCGTTGTGCCGAGGTTGCCTCTGAAGATATCGGAATCCGAGATAAGCAGATAAGGGACAAGAGTCCTAGAATGAAGAGGGAACTCAACTTGGATATGGACAAGAGTCCCAGATTGGGAGAAGACTTTAGTTTAGGTAAAGATAAGACTCTTAGAGAGTTTATCCTAATCCCACTGGGAGTCCCAGATTAGCAGTAATCCTAAGTCCATTAGGGCCAGGCTCCTATTGGGACTAGGATTGTATTGACTATAAAAGAGAGGCACCCCCATGGGTCTAAGGTATGCTTTTAATACTCAAGCTTGTGAGTTGAATAATTGATTATCTTTGAGAGATATACTGACTTGATCGTCGGAGTGCCCCCGGGTGGACGAACCACCGCGGGATTCTTATATTTCTGTTGCAGGTCAGTCAGGTGCCATCTATTCTGTCGTTGCTCTCCAGCTAGTTACTAAGCGGGCAGTGTAGTCAGAAAATCACTCACACACTTATGTATAATTTATTTATTTATTTTGTTTTTATCAGCAAAAGTGAGTTATTAATTGTTTGATTAATACCTATAGAAATTAGCCTTCTCACCCTTTGTAAGGCACCAAATGGCTCCTCCTAGAGACTAAACCCTTAGAAAAATCATGGTGACCAACTAAGTTGGTTTATGAATGATTCATTTGACGAATATTTTATGAAAAATTATACCGGTAATCTCTACCCTTATTTTTTTTGGTTTTATTAGTTTCTACACTTTTAATTAGTTCAATTTTAAATTTAGTGTTAATTTGATCCAATTGATAATACCGTTAGTGTTTTTGACTAAAAAATATCACTGAATTTGTTGAGATTAACTCACTAAGTTGAGAAAATTTATAATTTTGCACTTAAAATCATAACACATTTTTTTAATTAAAAAATGCAAAAATTTCCTAATATATGCATAAATTCATGATTAAAATCAAATCAATTGAAACGCATTGAAATGCATTAATTAAAAAAATTGAGGCAACCTCATAAATTTAGGATTAAAATTGAATCAATTGAAATTACAAACACTAAATACAAGAATAAAAATATAAGGACTACTATCCTAGGAGAATATGCACACTGAAGTTTGAATTTGTTTAATGTTTTAAAATGATGACACATAAGTTAAAATACTACAATTTCCTAATATATGCATAATATAATAAAGGATTTTGCTATGTTTAGAAGTATAAAAAAATTGTATATTATACCCAAAAAAAGCATATATATTAAAGAACGTATTTTTTTTTATAAATATTCTTAACATGTGTTTTAAATATTTGTTTCGTGCTAACAAAACTTCATAAAAATAAAAAATTAAAAGGCTTAATGTTACACCATGACCAAACGCGAACTTTGAATAAACTCTTTTGTTTAATTTCTCTTCCGTTATAAATTTACAATTAACTGTATAATCATAAAGAAAATAGACAAAACAGAAAGTTCCAAAATATGTTCCATTGAAATACAATGAAATTTAAATAAGGAATGCCATCAACTTAGTTTTTTTTTTTTTTTTCGCACGCGCATGTATCAGAAGTTATTAGCTGGAGTTGGTGGAGTTAAGTGGAGGAAGAAATAACAGAGGAAATTAAGATCTTCACACCATAAAGTGGTATTATATAATCACTTGGCTAACTAGCCGTGGTGTTACGTCAAATTGGTTCAAAGAGTTTAATATCTCACCATCAACTAACTTGGTTGATCAAATAAGCCACATGATTTGCGAAATGTGTCGTACTTTAAAAAAATTTATATATAATTACATTTTTTTCATTTCAATTTAGTTAATGAAAGGTTATCTCCCGCATATATTGAAAAATAAAAATAAAAATGCTACCTAGGGAGAAAATAACAAATGGCATTTTAGCTTCGTCTATGAAATAACACGAATGTGTAAGAATGTGAGATACACGATTGCCCCTATACCCAAATTAAATATTTGAATATTCTAATCTTTAATCATATTTGAAAAAAAAAATTACATTTTATAAT